AGGACAGCGAGTTTTGCATAAACACACAGATTTTCTTAATGCTCCTAAAAGACTGGTTCTCACCAAGTTGAGAGCATTTCTTGAGTGCCTCTAATGAAAGATAGTCCTGGTTCTCCTGCTCCTTTGTCCGGCAGGTCTTTCTGATAAGAAGTACAGCAGAAAACCTCCTTTGTTGGCACAGGTGGGAAAAGGGAGAAAGAAGAATCCCTCCTGGAGGTGCTCACTTGATTTCACAGCAGAATACTGAGTTAGGAACACCAGTGTCCCGAGCTTTCCTGAGTCAGCGCCCAGTCAAAAGGCCCAATGAAGTAGTTCCCTCACCTCACTGGTGACTTTCTTTAACTAAATCAGTAAATCAGCTTTACCGCTCATAAAAGCCTTTCATCCTTCCGGCTGTCCTCCTCCTAGGATGTTCTTTATCCTGCCTGCGCTGTAGTTGAAGGCAAAAGTTGGAGGAGCTGTGCGGGGGGCTGAGGGGGCGAGGACACTTGGCAGGAGGTCTGTCTTCAGAATGTCCCTGCAGGCCACTAACCACAGCTGGTTCGGCGAGGGAACACACTAATGCCTTGTCCGAGACACACCGGGGCCCCTTAGCGCTCGCGTGAGTGTCTGCAGAGGGGTGACAAGTGCTTCTGTCCGGCCCAAGCTGTGTCCCAGCCGCTATTTGCACCCTGGTGCCTCTGCAAAGACACAGCAACCCCTTGCGAGGCAAGGACAGCTGGGGGAGACAGCAATGTATCAGTCTTCGTCCCCATCCATGCTTGCTTGCATTGTTTCTTAGTGCTGAGGCCAAACTGGCCTCCTCCAGCACCAGCACTGCCCCATGAAGCAGGCGTGTTTCACGGCTGGACCTCGCTCTGTGCAAAGGTGGCGGGGAGCCACGTCTGGGTCCTTTTCCAGAGGCAGCGGCAGCAGCACGGGCAGGGGACTGCCACCAGCTCAGGAGCAGAGGTGAAAGCTGAGCAGCCTGTACAGGTGGCTTTCCCCCTTCCAGTCTCCGCTTTTCTTTCCCCGCTGCCTTTTCCTTTCCCTCCAGTACTAAGTGCGAGCAGTGACCACCCAAATCCCATGTGCAGGTGGGGCTGCACAGCTGACTTGGTTCTTCATTTTTGTCAGAGGCAAATTGTTTCCCAACAGGTGTTCATGAGTAAAACCCATGCTATTCACTCAGTGACTATAGCAATATTAAAGAAAATGATGTTTCAATGGCTTTTTTGAAGGGACGTGCCTTTTGAATGAATAGAAATGTTTCTATCTATCTGCTTTCAAATGCTTGAAAAGGAAAAGAAAAGGATTCCCGTGTTTTGCCTTGTTCTCTTTTCGCAGTTGCTATGTGACAACAAGAGTCGTTTGTTGCTATAACAGCTTTCAGGAGTTTGAAACACTCGACATGACCAGGTAGTGTTTTTGTCAGTCAGCATCGTTAGCCATGATTTCCTTCTTACTGCAACGGGGCAAAAACTACTGCAAATCAGTATATTTCTTGGGAGGTCAGTGGAACCGGGAAAATTCCAGCTAAACTTTTGACTATGGTGTGCTTTTGACTATAGTGTATTCTTGTGGACTGTGGCGATGCATCCCCTGGCTTCAAGCGCATGTGAAATGTCCGTCGTGCTCAGTTAACTGAGGGCAGACTCCTCAATAAAGGTTTTTCTCCTGTTCAGATTATCCGTGAGAGACTGAAGTTCTTGGCATTGTCTGGACTCTTAGTTGGAGCGATCATCTGCAAAACAACTGGGTTGTGACGGGCTCTCTTGTCGAGATCACCTAGTGGGTGCATGGCCCGTCTTAGGATCAGTTTAAAGGGCAGAACTTGTGGCAGTGTTTATTTGGTACCCCTGTGGCTTCTTGACTCAGGGATGGATGGTTTAAACACGGCAAATCCAGCACGTTTGTTCACCTGCCCTTCTGTATATGTGCCTCCACTTCCAAACCAGTCTCTCAAACATAAGCTATGCCTGCTTATAGAGCATCCATCACTGCTAACACAAAGTAGTAGCTTGCGGTGTAGTGCCTCAAGCTATGAATCTACTTGGAGTTGTGTGGGGTGTAGTAGGGTGCTTTGGGGTTACGTGTGGTGGGGGGAAAAGGGACGGAGAAATGAACAGCTCTTGTGCCTTTCTATAAGCATTGTACAAGTTGCACCGTTCTCTGAAACCTGTTAGTTGGTCTGCTGTAAATGTGTTGGCAGCTGTCCTCAAATCCTGCCCCACTGTGGCACAAAATCTGTAGTTAAAAGTAAGGTGCATCAGGTCCATCCCACAAACCAAAAGCTTAGAAGCGGATTACAAGCTTTATGCTTCCTTCTGCTTAGCAGAAGTCTGAAATTACAGACATCGGTTAAAAGTGTGTGTCCCTCAGGAAGGGCACAGAGTGGTATGAGGTTGGCAGCCCTTAACAGCTGGAGGTGTGCCCGTCCCTGCCCCTGTCTCCTGAAATGGGCCTGGGACCTGCACTGCGAGAGAGCTGCTCTCCTGGACGGAGCCCTCAGACCCAGCCCAGAGCTTGCCATGCAGAACTCCAGGCATAGCAGAGTGTAACTGTTCTGTGCTATTCTATCCCTGCACTCATCATGAGTCAAATAATGACAAGACTGTTATTTGCCTGAAATACCAGGGTTTTTTAAGCTCTAAAAATCACTTTTAAGGACACATAACACAAAGGTTACTAGTGGAAACAGGATTTTATCTTATTTATTACTGTGTCAGAGCAGAAGATCTTGCAAAGGAACTATAATCACAAGAAGAGTAAATGCCCAGACACGGAACACAAGAAAGAGCCATAAAATCTAATATTATTATTGTTAAGAATTTTAAACTCATAAAATGTATACTTAATTAGCCAAGACAAATGGATAATTCCTCCCCATCCACTTTCGAGTGTCACTGCCTTTACCACTCTCCCTGGGGATACAGAAAGCTTAAGAACTCTGATACAGAGCTCTTAACTGTATGACACACCAACAAACATCAAACAAAATGCTGTGTGATCTGCTAATCTGAAATCACACACCAGCTCTATTATAACACAAAACCACAATAAGATGTCCTAAAAATATGAATGTTTTAAAGAGACTGACATTTTAATATTCTGACTAAACAAAGCATCTCTTTTAAACAAATGAAAAACTTATTTGTGATGAAAACTGTGTACTTACCTCTGTATGGTGTTCCAACTGATGTGACGTACATATTCTTCTCATAATTTTTCAGCCGGTCTTCCAGTACATGAATCTAAATAGAGAACAGTCAAGAAGATAAATGGTGTTCACCTGGAACTAAAATAAGCATAATTGAAACAGTTTTCAGCTAAACACTGTCTCCTCCGATGGAAGTAAAATACATTTGCTTTTTAAGGAAGGAAAACATTAAAAATTGTGTTATTAAAAACTGTTCTCAACTACTAAAGGAAATGTGCAGAGATGTGTATATACAGATAAGAATATTTATAGCAAATGTTATGTACATGTATGTATTTACATATATACACGTCTTTTATATGCATAAGCATACATAAAAAACGTGACAAAAGTTATACTTAACATGAAAAATGTTTAGTTTAGAAAAAAGATCCATAATTTCATGAAGTGCACTGTTCCATTTTTCACTGTCCAAATGTTTGGCTAACCTGTATCACAAGCATGTGTTATTTTCATCCTCAGGGGATAGAGGAGTACTTTGAAAAGTGCACAGATCTTCTGAGAGCAAGTAAGAGTCAAAACTATTTTATAGGCATATTATTTCCATAGTACCTGTGTGGTGATGTGCTACATTATCACTTTGCAAGAACAAGCCATTTAATACTGCAAACACAAACTATTAAGAATACTTTTTACTTGTTCAAACAGCACCCTACCTGCTCTTTGAACTCCTGCTCTTTCAGTTTTGAATCATTGACTAGTGTTGTCTTCTGTGCAAGCTGTGCCTGAAAGAACAGCCACATATGGAAATCATCAAGAAACTGCTAAAGATATGTCACAGGGATCTTTTCAATAAACCTCTTTCTCCCTTCAAAACACACATCAACTTATAAGCAGTATTTCTGCTTTCAAACTGCTGTGAAATAGAATTATCTAGAAAGCAAAATCAACAAAATTTAAGACTTACCTGAAGTTCTGTTATTGTGACCTACAACAACAACAAAAAATATTAGATTAAAATGTATGAAAAAATACTGAGTATATCAGGCACTGGACATGGGGAAAAAAAAAAAATAAAAAAAAAAATCAATCACCTAGTTCTGATAGAGTGTGTTAATTGAAGATGATAAAAACCTGAAATGACCAAATCACACATACTTACAAAAATAAGTAGCCCCATAAATGGAGTTTAACTTATTTGTATTGACAGTACAGAAAGCTTGTATTTAAATTCTCTCGTTTGATTCTGTAAAACAGTTATCATAAATATAACTTCAAGAACCTTGTGATTCCAAATCTTAACAAAATCCATATTGGAAACGAATTATAATTGAATAAGTATGAAGCACATGCCAGAAAACCCTAACCGCTATTAATACAATTCACAACATTGTCTCTTTTTCCTTAATTCTCCAAGTTGCATTTGAAAATGTGAACATTTATGTCAAAATACCTTCAGCCTAAGAGCTTCACGAGCTCATCATCTTGCAAAGACAGTAATCTTTATGAAGTACAGAAAGAATTCTAAGCTGAAATTTCTATCTTTCAATGTTCCAACTGTAAGGAAAATAATGCTTCAGTAGTTATGGGTACAACTCAAGGTTGTAAAAGCATTTTAACATCAAATAATTTGTGTGTGAAATTTCTTTTTTTGTTGTTTTTGTTTTGGTTTGTTTGGGTTTTTTTAAGGTAACATAAATCATAACACAGGAGTGGTACATAATACTTATTTCTTCCCAAACCTCTTTGGAATTGGTTGAAAAGGAAAGGTATTTCCTATCTCTGTAAATTCATAAAACCTATGGGTTTTCCTACACTCTGCAAACTGAATATAGCAGAAAATCATTCCTCTAAGGATCTCAAACCTTCAAGCGCAGTTCTTGCTTCTGATGAGCTCACTCATCTGACCAGACACTTATTTTCTCATGAAGAGAGACAGTTTCTGATATTTTTACATCCCAACACTAACACTTAAGGATGTTTGTATTTGCCAACTGTTTATCACAGTCCGACAAATACTGTTCAAATGTATAGTTACACTTCATGTCAAATTGGATACATTATGCATGATGTTTGCCCCACGCTGACAAGCAGAGAGGTTTTATAAGACAAACTTCTGTGACTTGAGAGACTCTAACTTTAGACAAGAAATGTATCAATTGCTCACAAAATGTTTCCAGTGAATAGAAGACTACCAGTGCTGAAGGAGAAAGAAAAAGGACAAAAAAGTTACAAAGCAACAAAATAAAGAAATAAGGTGAGACAAAAGATACCATGGCAAAGATGACAGAATTCATTTGAATGCACATGTAAAATGCAAATGTGGATGTGTACGCTTCTGCTCAGGTATGTGGACAAGGTCCATAGGCCCCATCCAGTTTTCTCATCTAGCTGTGTAATGTTGCACTTATATGCTATTGTATCAGTTGCAAATATGTTATTGTACCATGTTTAGCAAAATTAGTTTCCTACAGACATATCAAGGACAGGCAATGGACAAATTAAGACAGGTAAGAATTAAGAAGAACAACTAGTCTTAATTTCTAAGAAGGAAAAAAAAACCCTACCTCCTAACCCCAGAATAGACTGTATTGAAGAGTGAGAATGCAACCCTGAAATACTGACAAAACAAGAACTGGAAGCCCACTTACTCATTGCACTCTAAATACCTGAGCTGTGACTGGACCAGAGGATGTACCAGGAGCTATCTGCATATTCAATAGCATAATCTCACTATTAGAATAATTATGCTGCTTTGAGATGAAGTCACCATTGCAAATAGTATGAAATATTAAATTCACATTCAGTTAAATCAGAGCTATGCAAATGAAAGCTTGTGAACAATTTACTAAATTTCAATTTAGCTGGAATTCTCATTATTACACAAGAAAGCTTGATGCCTGTATGCCAGTGAAATCATGGATATTTAACTGCCTTACACTCACCAAAAAATCCCACTCTGATTCTGCAAGCACTTCAAACCTGGATGTTTTAACTAGACTTAAGTATGTACACCCTGGTTTCCCTCCCAAATAAGACACGATTTACCCTTTAAAACAATGCTATTTACCAGCAATGGAGTTATCTCAACTGTTTTATACCCACCACAGATGGAACAACTCCTTTGAGTTTCTCCAAAGTCTGCCATGGAAACTCCAAGGAGTGGTGAACTGTGGACAAGATTCTAAAGACAGGCAAAATTAGCCATTTTTTCTTATTGTAAGCAGATTCATCTTTAGACAGAGATGCCATGTTTGCAATACTCAAATATTTTACAGCTCTATGATACCATTGCAAATCTGTGTGATGCATTTCTGGGAAGAATTCATAAATACATGAAATACCACTGATGGTATATAGACTTGATATAACTTTCATGTCCAATCAGTGCACATATAATCCCGAAGATGCATGTATAATATGGTGCTAAATGACTGCCTGTATTTATAGCAGACTTCTATAACAAAGTAATACAAAGGGTGTTGTAAGTAAGCGTAAGGCAGAAGGGACAAACATTAGGACAGTAAGGTAATTTGTACTGTAAGTTTGTAGTGTCAAACAAATATATTTAGTATCCCCATTGCTGCCTGTTGTCAAATCTAAAAATGTTAAAGTCAATTCCCATCAATGACTCAACACCTCATATAGTTTTCCTCTTCTCAGTGTAATAATAACTAGTAATATTTTCATCAAAGAATTCCTCAAACTAAAATGTGGTCTCAAAGACCAAAGCATGCACTCAGTCTTCTTTCAGTGAAGACTCCTCTCTCCATAATTGATATATTCAAGGCACTATTGCAGAGCCCTTTGGAATTTGAATTTAAAACACAAACAAGAAAACCCCACCACACTAAAAATGACCCAGTGTGACTTCCTTTCCTTCTAAAGGGCTTTCAGTAAAACAAGAAAAACCCCACCTTAATAATGACAACACAACTGGATTTTTTAACATACCATTAAAAAGGTACTATCAACTACTGCAGATTCTAAAGAGGTTCACTTTTGAAGAAGTTATCATCTAAAAGAATAGAAACTGTATGGGAAAGTGAAGACCAGATATATAAATAAAATCCAATTAAGAGCAAACTACAGAATTTTATGAGGACTAAGCATTTCACACCTAAATATATTTTAAAAAAGTCTCAGTGCCAGCTCACTTTTTCACTGTTCCAACATTCCTCTTCTGCCATTCTTTTTTTGTATTCCTTTTGCAAGTCTTCTAGCTGTGCCTGCAACTCATGAACTTTTGCTGTCATCTCTTCTTCACGAGCCTTCAAAATAGAGGAAAAAAAAAATTACTTATACAATTAATCATCTAATCACTCAAAATCGTAACTACAGCAGACAGAAAGATCAACAAAAGTGTTATGCTATACACAGAAACAATATGCTTGAAATTCAGTATGAAGACTAATTGAACTACAGGACTACAGAAACAAGCAAGAACCAAACTACAGCAGCTTAACAAGATTTTTGCATGCCTTCAACAATTAAGATTATTTAGTTAGGATTACAGTTAGCTTTTTGAAAATTACAAAAAAAGAGCTACTTTATCAGGCACTAAAACAGCATTTGAGTATAACCCAGTAAGAGTATTCCTGGAGAGATTGTGCTTGCTTATATGACATTCGTGAAAGGTACGCATGACGATACAATACAGAGTTACTTCCTATACTCTGGAAGTGACAAGAACTTAAATCCTTTCCTCCCTCACTCTCACAAAGATGTTCCTAAAGCAGTTTTAAGCACATTTTCAGAAACAATGACTTCCTGTTCACAATGGTTTGGAGGGCACCGTGGAGCATGGTGGAATGAAGCAGTGGCAAGAATGACAGGGAGGAAGTCAACTTTTCCTGATTGTTTTATGACGGTGTGAAGAGTACATTTATAGGAGAAAAATATGATGACCTAAATCTAGCAAGTTAACCCACCTATATGGCACTTTGCAAACAGAAGTATTTTTAAAAACTGTGTCCCCTCTGGCCTTTTTATGAGATAACATGTTAGTGAGCTTATAAAACAGCACTCCAATTCAAAGTGCATCTCTCCACTGCTGAACTAAACAGTTTCCCCCAGTTTCTCTCATGTAACCCCTCAGGGAAGTGAGCTGCCCACTCTGCTATGCAGTAGTACTTCAGGTCAAATTAGTACAATTAATCAACTGTTACCAAGAATAGAACTGCTGATCAAAATTTTGTTCCATTCAAAACCTCAGGAGTGCAAACTATAGTGATACAGAATATTCACTGGAAAAAGAAATGCAGAACTAGAAAGCTGGTCCAGGCTTAAGAGATTTAGGGTATCCCATAAGCAAAAAAAAACCCCCAAAAAAACCAAAAACCCCCCAATTATATCCCTGTAAGACCACTTTTTAATGTGTTCCTTGCACCTTACTTAAGACTAAAACACCCTCGCCATGCAGGCCCTTAGCTCAAAAACCACCAAGAAACAAAGCAAACTCCCTCCCCAAAAAGCTAGTGAATGGGAAGTCACAGTACCTGAGACAGTTTTACAGCATAAAAGTTTTAAGAATGTATCCATCTTCAAGAAAAACCTTGCTCAAACACTACGACCTCCAAAGAATGTTATTTTTTTATTAATTCACATGATTTTTCCAAGTCCTCAAAAATACATCGACAATTAACCTTCCCCAAGATTTTTTTTTTAATATATTGTTACATTTCTCTAGTTAAAAACCTCTCAATAATACCTAGCACATCCAGTTGCTTTTATCTTCCCTTTTTGGGAGTTTTTCAGGGTTTTTTTTTTTGAGAAGGCATGATGGTGGTTGTTGTTTTGAATTCTTTTTTGAGCTTTTTTTTTGTTTGTTTGTTTGTTTTTTTTACATCAAGAATCATAGAATCTTACGATTTCTAGACTACTGTTCACTGAAATAAATGAAAAATTGCATGCACACTGATCTTAGTCATAAAAGGTAGCTGAAACGCAGAAAAGAAATTCAACTCAAAATGATGACTAACACTTCCATCAAAGGGACCTACTTGTCAGCCATTATTTTATAAACCCCTGAACAGAGATTATAATTTAAAATTTGAAATAATTTGAGATCATGTGGGGTTCCAACATACTACAGAATCTGTATTTATAATAAGAACCTATTGTTCTATACAGTATATGGCATACTCTGAAAATAAACTGCATGCTATTTGGGTTTAACTACAATTATAGACTAAGAATTCAATAAGTTGTGATTTCCCAAATCTTAACCACAAGGCCTAGCCTGTATTCTCATGGAAGGCATTACAACAAATAAAAGAGTATAAACCTGAAGTTAGGTATTCATTTTTAGCTCATAGATAGGCTTAAAATAAGCTAGCTGGAGCACAGCATTCGATTTTTTTCCTCTAATTATATACTTTAGTTGAAGAAAAAAAGACTTAGGCCTCAAATTATAATCTATGTTGATTTACAAGTCCCTTAATTAGGGAGACTTCCATGAAATCTTATGTGATTGATAAAAGCTTTTATGAAAGATAAGAAAACACCAGATAAAGCACAAGAAGTACCAGGGGGGCAGTTCACAAATAAATAATACTACATTTAAGAGACTGAATGATTCCCGCTTGTCTTTAAGGAAATATACTCAAATCAAAGTTAGACTAATTTTCAGCATCATTAACCATGTTTAAAATGCAACAGAGCTACAAAGTTATATGAGCAAAATTCATTCTTACAATTGGCAGTATTTTTGCTTCATCTTCTTAAAATTTATGACAGAGACAAACCTCTCTGCATAAATGTCTTGATGCGAAATTTCTCAAGCCTATCATGAGCCAAGTCAGGTATAAGTGGTGTAACAACTGGCTAAACTGAGAAAACCTATACATATGCTGATGCATACGTTCCTATTTCTATCAGAAATCCTAATGAATAACACACACTCAATTTAACATAAATATTTCGTAACTTTTGAGAGGCTTGCAATACTTTTTCAGGAAAAAAGGTAACAAATTCTCTAAACCTTTTTTGCCTTCCCTAAAATAACAGAAACAAAAACCCAGAAACACCCACACATACATCATTACCTAAAAAAGAAACATGCATTTAGAAATTTAAAATGCCAAACTACAGCTTATTACAGTTCCAGGCAACTGTCATTGCCATCATCAGTGAGATGCAAAAAATAACAGTGTTCATGTCCTCCAATTGCACAAAGTCAAATTAGCCTAAACCTTCAAGATCCTACGTTGAGTGCAGCATGCATGTTTCTGACATATACAGCCTGAATTCATCAGAAAACAGAGAGTAATTACATCTGCATGACTTCAAATGACCTATTTTGGCCTGTAAAGTAAGGACCTGAACGGCAACACACTGCACATTCAGATAAGAGAAATATAAATCCCCCAGAAATGCAGAACTTAGACCTATGGTATGAAAAACCTGTTGTTTTCTATCATATAATTTTTCTAAATTAGGAAACAAAAGAAAGAGATTCTAAAACACTGCCATCTCCATCCAACTTGGTAGAAGTTCAAAAATCAGAGTGGAACACACCAACCTGCCTAGAAGATTGAAATTTTTAGTATTAAACACTCAGTCATGCTTAGTATGTAGCTCTTTGGGCTAGTAACAGCACAAACAAACAGAAGTTCACTTTGTTACTACTGGCTCCATTCAAGGACATTTTTCTATTAAATTATTTGTGCAAACAGGACTAAGATTAGCAAAATTAAAGGCCGCATCCCAATATGACGTACAACCTAGCACTGAAACCCATTTAATCTTTTGTTGTCATACATGTGGGGCTGGGACAATTTACTTGGCTAAAACTAGAGGCACCCTTGGAAGGTCAAGTGTCTTTAGAGTGAAGCTGGCTGATAACTTCTGGTTGAAAGGTTACTGGAGCAAAATGATGTCTATCATGCAGACAAAGTGTTCATTTAAAAGCAAAAATGAAAGTTTTACTAGCATAAAATCTATGCAGAAAGACTGCTCCCTGCATAGAATAGAACCTCACTTGAAGGGCTATGGTGCCAATCTGGATAGAGCATCAGAGAAAGGAGAAGGAGAGTGAGGCTGACCCATAAACGCTGTATTTAAATCCTTAAAAGAAACAGTAGACCACCACCACTCCAGTAAAACTTAATTCCCTTACCTCAATCTAGGGCACAAACTGCTCAAGGACATAAGGACCTAATCATACAATTTTTACAGAAAGATCAGAGCTGGGGCTTAATTTTTGGTGTTCTTTCATGTTCATAAAACACAGAAATAAAACATTTTAACTGCAAGCTAGGCCACCACACATATCAAATGTAATTCAATAAAGATTTACAGTTTTTCTGTCTAGTTGCGCAATGAAAAAAGGGGAAGAATTATTTTGAAATGTATGTAGTCCTATCACTTTTCAGAAAGATACCTCAAGGATTTCTTCATATTTTTTTACAGTTCTTTTTAGATCATCATCTTTTTCAGCAATTTTTTTATGCAGCTGTGTTGTCTCTATGTGATGACTTTCTATCAATTCAGTTTCTACTTCCTGGGCTTTACCTATTAAAAAAAAAAAAAAAAAAAAGTCAGGCGATAGTAAAAAAAAGCATATTTATTTTGTTTTATTATGTCACAACAGTATCAAAAAGCTTAAAGACAACTGTGGAAGGCATCTATAATGAAAACTTGTCAGGAAAACTCATTTTTTGCGTTGTTGGTGATAATTTTGTCACTTGATCCTAATACGGATGAAGCCTGCTGTTGGAATCTGAAACAATGTTTCCTGCCTGATGCTGGAACTTCTCCCTAAAAGTTAAGATCACAACCAGTATTTATCAACTAATTCTATCTACTACTCTATCAAGAGAAGTGATTGACACATCTCCAAATCTTCAGAAATTCCTCACTTGTGGTGGCACTTCCAGTAACTGCGGAGTCAAAAGATACTTTCTGCTCACTTCTCCAGCCTCCAGCTTCCACTATGGTGGCAAAAGATGGGCAGAGAAGCTGAAATGTGCTGTCCTCTAGTTGTAACCACATGGTACCGCAATCAGACATCATATCCAGTTGGTTACCTGGTAGTGGTTACAGTGAATGAAGTCTGCAAGATGCAGGTAAGAAAACACAATTCTGATTTCCAGGTGGATCTAAATTTTTCTAAAAGACACCCTTCAGTGCCATGTACTCAACAATGGAGCGTTAAAGGTTTGTATTGCTGAAGCCTAAGTAGTAGTACAATGAAAACTTCCCAATGTGCTTTCACCTCTAAAACCAAACTATCTTTCTTTTTTTTTTCCTCCCTTTTGCACATATGATAAAAAGACAGTACCTATGGCTATCTAGGGTAGCTCTTGCCATGACAGATGCAAACAGAGTGCTAGATCAAAGATCCATCCTGCAGGGTACGGAAGAACAGCTACATATGCGTTTTCCTAATTGCGCTACCATTAACATTTATATGTTATTTCCTGAGTAACAGAAGTTCTTTCCCTGAGTTCTCTAGGCAGTCATAAAACATGTGGTCTTTATCAGTCTCAGGTAAAACCCCTTCCCCAGAACATCTGAAGATTTGGTCTTTTGGCTATTTTACTGATTATAGTTTTATTAGTATTTCACTTACTGATTGTGTCTTTTACTGCTGTTTCCAATTCTCTTTCTTTTTGAGCCAGCTGAGTATTGAACTCTCTCATCAACTGCTTTAAGGTGGAGTTGTGCTTTAACTCAGTATCTTCTTGTTCACATCTGTACCAAAATGTGAAAAAAAATACAGTGAGGAAATAAAATGTTTAAAGAGAGTGAGAGAACAGTTTAGCAAGGTAGGAGATCTAAAACTATTTTGGAATGGGATGGTTTTGAATTATATGAATTCAGTTGATTTAGGGAGGCTTTTTGTTCCTCTCCCACTGAATTCACCTTCTCGAGGTTCTAGTAGTCAAAGATAAAGCAAAGAAATTGTAAGAAGACCAGGAACAAAGAATTTACCTCATTTTCTGCTCCATTTCTTCTAAGGACTCCTTCTTTACTATGTCAAGCTCCTGCTGATGTTCTTTTCGCAGAGTACGTAAGTCTTTTTGAAGATTATTCACTTCTTTGCGTAGTTTCTGTTTCTCCCTTTCAGCCTCTTCTAGCTTAGTCTGCAAGTCCTTCTGCTGGTTCTGCATATCACCTAGTAACTCCTGCAGCTCCAAACCAGATTTAGCCTTTTCTTCAGCATTTTCCTCAAAAGCTTTCAGGGTGTCACTTCTTTCATCCAACTGTTGCTGTAAACTTTTTAGCTTTTCTTCATATCTTAAACTCATATCTTCCATCTCAATCTTACGCACTTCATTTTCTTTCATTAGATTATTTTCCAACTCTTTTACCTTCTGTTCTAAAGACTGACTGACTGCCTCCTTTTCCTGCAATTTTTTCTGGAATTCTCCAATTACAGTCTCCATATCAAGATGTTTTTGTTCTTTAGCTTTTAATTCTTCCCTACTGCTTGCTAAATCACCACCACAACTGGCATGCTCATCCACTAACAATGAGTATTTTTTGGTTTGCTCCTCAAGTTCTTTCCTGAGGTTTTCAGTCCTCCTCTGCTCCTCCTGATGTCTCTTCTCCACACATTCTAGTTTTTTAAGGAGTTCTTCCTGTTTGTTTTGCAGTTCTAGACGAGAGTCATTACTCTCTCGTTGTTCTTTTTCATACTTCTGCAACAATTCATCTTTTTCAGTTAAGCCCTTCTGTAACACACGCAATTTCTCTTCATATGTGTGTTGGATGCTCTCAAGCATGCTATTTTTTTCTTGCTCTACAGCAGCTTTTACACTCTCTACTTTTTGCAGCATTTCTTTCTCTAATTCTGTGGAATTTCTTGTTGATTTAATTTTTTCTTCTAAGGACTCAATTTTGGCCTCTCTCTCCTGCACTTTTTGTTCCAAGTCTCTTAACTGATTTTCTTTATCTTGCTTAAATTGCTGTTCCTTTTCTTCCATCTGGGACATCAATTGCTTTTTAATAGAACCAATTTTTTGCTCTGCCTTCTTTTTCAGATCTGCCAGCTTAGTGCTGTTCTCTGCATTCAGTCTCTCTTCTAATTCTTTCAGTTCTTCCTCTTTGCTTTTAAGTATCGCTGACTTAATTTGATCAAATTCCCTCTCCTTTGCTTCAAATTCAGCTTTCAGTGAACTTACTTGCTTCTCCAGATTAAGCACTTTTTCTTCTGCCTCCTTAAATCTATTATCCTTTTCAAAAGCCACCTTCTCTGCCTGCTGGAGTTGCCAAGCTATCTCTTTTTGCTCTATGTTTTTTTGTTCATTATACTTTTTAAGTTCCTCCATCAAGGAATCATTTTCTGAAGTTTTCTGAGCTATGTGTTGTTCTAGTTCAGCAATTCTTGCTGCTTGGTTTTTTAACTTTGCAGTTAACTCATTTTCTTGCTTTTCCCTCCCGTTTTGCTTTTGTTCCAATTCACTTTTTAAACTATCAAGATTCTTGCTTTGTTTAGTCAGCTGCTCCTTCAGCTTATTTAGCTCTTCATCCTTTTTATTGGCTTCAGTATTGCTTAATTCAAGTTTGCTCTGCAAATCTTTAATAGTATCATGATTTTGCATAAACCTGGTTTGTGCTTTCATCTTCCACTCTGACAGCTTGGCTGTGTAATGATCTACCTGCTCCAGAGCTGATGCTTTGTCTTGACTCAGCGCCTCAACTCTGGACGATAACTCCTGTAACTGGTTTAACAACTGCAACCGATCCTCTTGATGCTGCTTGCTTAACAAAGACATGGCTGCTTCCTTCTCCGTTAAACTTACATTAAGGTCATTAATCGTTTTGTTGAGAGCAGAGACCTCAGATTCTTTTTCCTGGAGTTCCTCCCTCATTGAGGTGACAGCATTGATATTTTCAGATAACTCTTTCCTCAGCTGTGTTATGCACATTTCTTTTTCTGACGCTGCTTGCTGCTGATGCCCTTCCTCTTTCTGCAATTGTTCCTTTTCTGTTACAAGTCCTTCAATGTCAGCTCTCATGGACATAATTAAATTGTCCTTCTCTTGCAGCTGTTGCACTGACTTTTGCAAAGAAGTTCTTGCAGCAGAATGATGCTCTGTTACTTCTCTAAGTTGAGCTTCTAGTTCAGGAATCTTAGTCATTTTAGTTAATACTGCTTCTTTAACTTTTGCAGTTCGGCGCTCACAATCTGCAATTTTGCATGTTACTATACCAATTTTTTCATTACATTTTTCAATTAATTCATTGCTTTTTGTTTGCAATAAAGCTTCAGCATTCTTCCAATAAGTGTCTAACTGGGCTGCAAGTTCTCCTGACCACCTTTTAAACTCTGTTTCTTTTAGCTGAATGGCCTCTATTTTTTTCTCATAATTTTCATGATCTTTATACTGAGAAGACTGCACAGTTTGGAGTTTCTCTTCAAGTGTTTTCAGTGCATCAGCCAGCTCGGTAATTTTGTCTTTGTCCTTTTCTTCAACTTCTTTCTGTTTACTGAGCTGTTCCTGAAGTCCTGACTGCTCTTTCAAGGACTGATTAAGATCACTTTCCATTTTTTTCAACTGTGTTTCTAGGTCACTTTCCTTATCTGACAAAGCATTCACCCTAGCCACTGACTGCCTTAGTTGTTCCTGCAATTCCTTCAGGGACTCCTCCCTTTTCACCTGTTCTTCCTTCAGTCGGGTTATTTCTGTTCTGGAGCCCTCCTTCTCAGCACTGAAGGTGGCAAGTTTCTGTTTCAGGTCTCCAACTTCCTGCTCTTTCTCTTGCAGTTCCATTTCGTGTTTTTCCCGGAGCTCTTCAACCTGCTGATTGAGTTTCTTTTCCCAACTCTGGGTAATTTCTTCCACCTCCTTCCTATGAGCCTCAGCAAGACTCTCTAGTTGCTCTTTCTGATTAGATTCCAGTTTTGACACGGCATCATTGATTCCGGCTGAGCTGGCATGTGCCATTTCCAACATTTTAGCATTGAATTCACTCTCTTTCTGACTGAACTCCAACTGTTTGTTTTCAAGCTCTTTCTTTAGTTTAGCTTCCTGCTCAGCAAGTTTCTTTTTGAAAGTTTCCTGCATATCTTTTGATTTCTGTTTAATTTTCTCCATTTTGTTCTCCTGATGTTTCAATTTACTTTCATAATCTCCTTGTAAAGCACTAATTCTCTCCTCTGCAGCTATCAATTCCTGTTTAAGCTCTTCCACTTGCTTATTCTGTAACTTCATGTGTTCAATTTCATTTTCCTTCTCGGTTAGAGTTCTCTTTGTCTCATCAGCCTCTCCTTGTAGATCCCTCAGTTGACATTCATATTGTTGTGTTAGAGAGGTTACTTTTTGTGTATTTTGATTGCTTTGCTCTTGCAAATGCTGCTTCAGGTCATGTACCTGAGAGATGTACGCCTCTAACTCATTCTTGACTTCATTCAGCTGGGATTCAGCTCTTTCTAGCTGCTCATTAAGTTGCAATTTTTCACCTTCAAGATCTGTCAGCTTCTGCTGCAGCTTTGCTAATTCCCCTTCATAAATCTTTGCCTGCTCATCAGCAGTTCTCTGATGAGACTCAGAAATCTCCTCTAGCTTTGCAGACACTTGAACAAGTTCAGCTTCAGATCTTTCTGCAGATTCCTTTAGTTTCTGTTCATGTGCTTTTAGTTCCTCCAGATGTCTGTCTTTCTCCTCCAATGATTGCTTGAGTTTGTTGAGTTCCTCTTTGAGTAACTTCTCGACGCCTTGAATAGACATTTCGTGCTCTTTTAACATTATTTCAACCTCTTCATTGTGCCGTTTCCTCTCTTCTTCCAACTTCCCTTCCAATTCTTGCTTTGCTTCATACACTTTAATGTTCAATTCTGAGAGCTCTTGTTCTAAATCATGACGTATTTTTAGTGCTTCTGATAGCTCAGAAGACAGTGCTTCTAATTCTGTTTGTTTCACATCAAGTTTTTCTAATGTTTTTTCATTCATCTCTTCTATGTGTGCACGAAAAACAGCTTCTTTCTCTTTCAAAATTGTATCTATGTCTTGTTCTTGTTTCTCTCTAATTTTTTCTATTTCATTTACTTGTTGTTGCTTTAAGATTTGAAGTTTTTCTGTCCAAAGCTTTTCCTGCTGCTGTTTCACATTCTCCAATTCTTTCTTGTGTTTTTCAACTATATCATTGATTTCCTTATTGTGCTGCTTTTTTTCAGACTCCAGAGTATTTAATTCCTCTGAATGCTTTCTGTCATCTTGTGAATACTTTGCAAGAGAGCTTTCTAGTTCAAGAATCCTCTGTTAAAGAATACAGTTTTAAGATAATATGAACACTCAAAAGGTAGCAAGTTGATAAATTTTTTTTAAAAAAATCTCACCAGGTTCACATAACTACAAGACACTTATTCCATTATTTTTAGTGAATATCATCTTTTTATATAAGCCTTTCATTCAGCTAGTTTGTTCCCAAATTTGCTTCCATTACGGTGAGTTAGTTATTTAATGAAAATTTTTCTATTTCACTACAGTGAAAACAGATACAACAAAAACTTGGAAAGAATTTAACTAATTCAAATAAACTAATTTACATTATATTTATGAGTGGTATGTTCACATTTTTCTTATTAAGCTCAATTACCAATACATACGATGAAAGATACTGGGAGTCTACACAAGTATTACGGAGCTTTGTACGTATCTACTGATTTATCTCAATTCCACCTCTCATGGAAATGCTGCTGTAAAGTTAAAACACTTCTATAGGCAAAACTTCCAAACTAATATTTGGGAGTGGTGGAATAATGTACAAACTTGCATCAGCAAATAACACAATCTTACCTGCTACTTAAGCAAAGGACACTTCCAAAATTTAAGCATATTTTTTACTTACTCAAGTATCCTAAGTGTACAGTAGGAGTACCCAGAAGTTAAACAGTTTAAAGTCTAACTCTCCTGTATAACATACATAAAAGTTATGTAGATGGATACAAATCCATATCCCATGTCATGACAAAGTGAGTCTCTATGTTTTGCCATCTAATCTTGTAAAAACCTAGGCGCTGCAGCATACCATGGCAATACAGTAAATTTCTGTCACTACAAGAAGCATTGTGAGATTAAAACACAATCACAGTAAATCCATGATATTTGTAAACCTGTCACAGTAAAATACTGAAAGGAGTTCTCGTAAATGTTTATCCTTTCGGAATCTTTACTCACAGTTCTAAAAGTCTCTACTTCTTGATGCATCTTCTGAACTTTCTTGTCACACTCTGACTGTATCGCTTTCTTCTGCAGCTCTAATTCTTCTAAGGCTAGGGATTCTTGCTGCTTTTGTTCTTTAAGAGTTTTTAAACACTCACTCTGATTTTTTTCCTGCATCAAAAATTATTATTAAAATAAACTATAAATACAGTCATCACACCTTCAAAACCAGTATATTAGGATATTTACAAACCAGTTAACAGGAGTCATACACTAATCACCTGTATTTTCTACACACAGAGATTTTGTATTTCATCTGTGAAAGCAAAATTGTTATAAATGACTTCCATTTTCTCTTCTCGGGAACTATTTGTCTTCCCCTTCCTTCTCTTTGCATGAAAACATAATGCAATCCAGCCTTTTCATTTTGGTTTCTTTACTAAAATTGAGGAACATCTTAGAGGAATAAAGGTCTGTCCTCACTTGGTTCCACTGCTAATGTGTTTTTAAGCTTCAATTCCTTATTATGAAAAAAAATAACCTGAGAAACAGGTAGAAAAATACAGTCAGGAAGGGTCCCTCACAGGGGAGCACAAAAGTACCTACTATTTGTTAGGTAAAATTACATGATGATCTGAAGTGAATTACAGCTTATGAGAAACAGCAAAGAATTCCAATGATTCCTCCCAGCCTGACCCAGAAGAAAAGTCTTTTCTGAGGTCAAACACTATGAATAGTTAACGGTGTTCACATAACACAATCAGCCATAACAATACTAACACTTTTCAAATAACAGCCTCATTCTTTGTACCTCTTTTACTCTAGTTGCTGTGGCTAATTGTCAATGATCCAGGGGAAGAAATTAAAAAAACCCCACAAGTCTAACAAAAAGAGTTTTCAAAAAGAGAAGCCTTTCCCCCGAGGTGCAGCTGTTAGTGAGCAGTGTTAGTGATTACAATTATTCAGTCTGGATCATTGCAGCTACTTTCCTTCCATGTTGCTGAAGTCTCTGAGCTCTTGGATTTTTGGGGGACACTCATATCTTCGAGCGCTCATATCTTTGATTTCTCACTGTGGAACAGGGTCAGACTAAGACTTCTAGTCCCACCTCACACTTAGAGAAATGTCTTCCTACACAGTTTAGGTATACTTACAAGAGCTGCCTTCATCTTCTCCTGGAACATCTTTTCTTGGGCCTCTAATCTTTCATTTAGCTCCTGATCTTTGGTAGCGATTTCTTTTTTATGGAATTTTTCTAGTTCAGCAACACGCTCCTCTGAAGACTTCTATGAATCAAAGTCAGAAAAAACTAATCTAAAAATATTAAATAACAAATCACTTTGTATTATTTCTTAACATGAAAATCAGTGTAACAGAGACAGGAAACCAGAACCATCTCTGCTTTATTTAAGAATAATGTAATGCAAGTCAGTCATTCCTCTAAAGCATCAGCATATTCTCTTAAAAAATTAAGAACATAACAATTGTCAACACAAGAACTGCAATTTAAAGGTCTTCAAATTCACAGTTTTGCAAAGCATGTGCAGTAGTCCTGAAATTCCTACCTGAATACGCCAGATGAAGCAAATTTTAACAACTCTTAACTAAAACAGTTTGGCCACAAGTTCTTACACGTTTACACAAAGGGGGCTACGTTAATCATTAAAAGCACTTAGTTTTAAAGCCCAAAATTCTGGTAAAGATGTGTAAACTGACTGCCATTAGTTTCTTCTTCTTCACTCCCTTTAAAATCTCAAGTGTACTTCTAATAAATAATTTTATTAGATACCGTGAAAAAAGAGTAATACTGTTCATTTTTACATGCCTCTAACGTACCAATTTTAAACTATTAGAGGAAAAAAAATATCTATATGGGGAGTTTTCTACCTTGTCTTCAGTAAATCTTTAATCACAGAAATTAATTTTTATGTAATTTATTAAATAGCAAAATTTTTATAACAAAGTTCTGATATACTAATGTATTTTACAACTACAGTTTAATTGTCATTGAATGATTAGATTAAAAGCCAATAATACAGGGTGAGTTTCAGCTTTTACCTTCATAATCTCAACCACCTCTTGTTTCACTCTGGTTAACTCCCGTTGAAGATTTACCCTCTCTTCCTCACTTGCCTTTTCTACTGCTTTGATTTTTTCATCCATTTCTGCCTGCAATTTTTTCCGGGCTTCCTCTGTCTTTTGGGCAATACTGAGAGCCTTCTCAAGCTCTTCAAAAGCTGCAAAGAAAAAAAAAGTCTATGATAGTCAAGAAGTATCTACGAACCTTGACAGAAGAACAGAGTTCTCAGTAACTCTAAGTTACACAAGTAACTGGAGAATGAACTTAGGAATCCATCAAGCATTCACATGGGTTTAGCATCTAGAAAGGAAAGAGAACTAGAAATAGCTGTGAATGTCTTCCAATACATTCTGTAGCTTCCATTTCTTTTTTTTTCCCTAAAATCACTATAAAATACATAAACCATATAAATAAACTGCTGCTCCTCTTCTGGCTATATGGGCTGAATAACTTTGAAGAAGAGAAAAAAAGCTACATGAAGAAAAGGCAAATTCACAAGTTGTTCTTCCACTAAAACAAGTGGATGGAAGCATAAAGCAGGAACAACTGCTATGCAAGCCAGGTTTTACTTAATAACGAAAGTGTTCCTGAATAGAACACCTATTATTATTATTATTATTAAATACCAGTATCAGAGTTCCTCACTAAAACTGATGGCAGAATCTATATAGAATTACACAAGACTAGAATCTGATCATTGTTAGGGAAAGCTCTTTTCCTGCATAGATCATGAATGAAGGAAACCTCTGCTGCATATGTGTTCCTGAAAGTGTTCCTGAATAGAACACTTAAGTATAATACTACGCACTTTATTTACCCAGAAGTTGTTTATTTCAAACTGTACAACCTAGATTATCTTCTCTTTAAACTGGATTTGGTGGAGTCCATACAGATGGCTTTGCTAATTTCATTATTTCACTATTTACTTTTAATGTAAACTATCAATGCAATTCAGAGACACTGGAAAAATGCTTGTGTGTTACGAGGACTCTCCTGTGCTTCTAAATTTTGCATACAAAATGTCAAAAAAAAAAAAAATTAAGATCTGCTCCCAGGAAACACAAATATCTATAAGATGTTTCAAAAGAACACTCAAGCTGCAGTGATTAAATTTACATGTACAAAACAAATGCATAAGATGCACAGGTCTGCTGAAACACATTTTATTTTACAAATTGGAAGCAATAATTCCACAGCTTCTTCCCATGCTAAGGAGAATTATTCTAACATAGTTTGTTCACTTCATAGATTATTATTTAGATATAAAAAGAAAGCAAATAAATTCCTGTGTTGTGAGCTGTTGCGTTTTATTATTATTATTATTATCATCATTATTATTATTATTATTAAATACCAGTATCTGAGTTCCTCACTGAAACTGATGGCAGAATCTATATAGAATTACACAAGACTAGAATCTGATCATTGTTAGGGAAAGCTCTTTTCCTGCATAGATCATGAATGTAGGAAACCCTTGCTGCATATCACAGGAAAATTCAGTCTCAAAACAGTCTACTCTATGGTTACTTTTTTGCATAAAAGAACTTTGGCAAAAGACCTCTGTGAAATTCAAAATCACAGTGCCAATAACAAGACTGTAATTTATCAGAGCAAAAAAAATCCTGAAAGTATATCATTCTACTATACCCTGGACTACTTGGCTACTATTCTGGGAGCAGACAGAACAAAGAATTTTTGAAGTGTTATTTAGTATGCTAAGCTTTCTTCCACTTAGCTCTATCCCTAAAAGAAATTAATAATAGACACACACATCTCTAGCTTCCTTGATTCGCTGTTACTTAGCAGTCATTCACAGCAACTCTCATAATCCTTGTGGTTTTTTGAAATTATCTTTAATAATATTCAGGCATGAGTTTGAGAAGTGAATAATAATTTCCATTCCACATCTTCTGATAACATTCAAACTGAAGCTTTTAACTACAATCTGTACTTTTGAGGCAATGCTGCAAATACGTTTTCAAGTAACTGAATTCCATAAAATTGCATTCATCCAAATTCTGACCTTTTCCAGAATTTTCTTCTGTTTTCTGAGGAAGCCTTGCTCTGACTACTCACAGCACTAATCATGTTTTAGGGCAAAACAGGGCTGTTACTGACCCTGGCAATACCGACGCACATCATTGTATCCACATTTTTCCTCTGAGTTCTACTTAAATAATAAATACTAAAACTCATTACAAAAAGTTTAGAGCACTAGAGATTATTTCAAACAGGAAAACTGTCTTAAAACATAATGCAAGCATGCACGAGGCTTGTAGCTCCTTACTTTCCAAGCACAGTTGTTCACAGTCCCCATCAAGGCATTTGCCACCAGGACCCGCAGGACTAATATCCTCCCCCTCGCCACCCTGGGCACAACTCTGTTACGAACACAGCCTGCGCAAGTGTTTGGAGAACAGCACCGACTTCCCTGATGCTCCTCTCAGCCCTAACAAAAGCACGCACAGCCAGCAAAATCGGCCAAGTCCTTCAGTATTACAGCATCATAAAAGGCTTTTTTTTTAAAAAAAAAAGCTCCTACAGACCTTTACAAAGTATAGCTTGAAAATAAAGCCTGCAAGTAAAAGATTTAAGTTATTTCCATACATGTTTTCTGATTCTTGTTCTAAGCAACATATACTTTATTTTCATTTGAGAAACCTGTTACTTCTGCAAAAGGAAAGAGAATGCATTTGCCATAGCCCACAAATCTGCCAAAGAGAAGATCCAGGTTCACACTAGGATCGACTACCGATATGTAATAGCTGAGCAACATGCAGTACGACGGCTGCATCACTGTACTCGCAAGCAGGATGCCAATACAAAAGCTAGATAAAAGCTGATGGACAAAACGTCAAGGCAGTATGAAAGCACGAAGAAGCAACACTTCACAGAAACACACTTAGCTCTCTAAAAGTTAAACTATATGCATCTCAGGCACTTAAGCAAAACAGAACATTTTTATTCAAAGTAGTTAATTCTAGTGTAGTATAACACAGCCGAGTTTCAAACCATCAGAGGGCTAAACTATCATCAAGTAGACAGAACGTGGTCTAAATTTATTATTACTTTTAAGCTATAGGAGATTTTAATTCTACTGTGAATAAAAGCATGGAATAGAAGTCCATGTTTTTATCCGAATATATCTTTTCCAAATGCAAAGAGTAAAGGCACTGCCTGTGTTCCTTCCCAACCAGCAGAGCTGCTCTTAAGGGAAGATCTTTTTAGCCGAGGTACTGATTAAATGGAATTCTTACAAAGGCACAGTGGCAAATCAGAAACAGTCACAAGTCTCAGGTTAGTCTTGCAAAATCCCATTCATCTGACCAAGCTAGACAAACTGTAAACCTTCCTGTACAGTATATAAATTACACAAAAAGAACCTGAGCAGGGTTCAAGTGCAAGGTTGCAAAACTGGTTTTTATCAAACGTGTGCTGGAGAGTCGACTGCTTTACACATGCTACTCCAAAGTACCAGTCTCAGTGCCCTTCGCCTTGCCTCTCCTGCCCAGTTCAACCCCAGTCCGTACTGCAAAGACTGCTTGCTCACTCTCCCGACGCTGCAGACGTGTTATCTTCAACCGTAGTGCCATCTACTGCTGACAATCGTGAAGAAAGCACTAAACGACGGCAAAGGAGGGATCTGCACGTTTTCTTACTGAAGGCTGAGAATAGGCATCTTATCAAAAGTTTGAGAAACAAAGGTTGAATTAATTTCCTATAGTTGACTTGTGCATCTAGGCCGGATTTTAAATGCACAGTCCAAGGTTTTTGTTTCTCTGTAGAAAGGCACAAAGCATTTGTTAATTAAGCTTGCAGAAGAAGTGACCCCTACAAAGAACAGCAACGTAAAGCAAAATGAATTTGTTTTCTAAAGACTTTGTTTACTATACAGAATATAAGTCAGTCAATAATCTGCATCCTAAGAAGTCAGAGAGTACTTACGCCAAGTATTCTCAGGAGAAACAAACTTTGGTTTACCAGTAAATTTACAAATACTGTAAATAAATAGCTTTGTTGAGATAAAATGTAAATAATCTATGTACACTGCAAAGCATTAAAAAAAATAAATCAGTTGCAGTTACTTCAAATATAAGTGCCTGAGAAGCACAGAATTTACTTTTTAGAGCCCAGTTCAAGCACCCAATGTGTGATGTAAGAAAAAAGAGCCCTTACCCCAGTCCTGTTCATACAAGGCTTGGGAAAGGCACCATGATTCACTTATTGGCATGTGTGGATGCACAAAAACAAGATGGTCTGTGAGATTTCAACATAATGTACCTCTAACCACAAAAGAAAATGAACTTCAACTGGGAGACCAAGTTACAGTTTACATAACACACACAAAGTAAGCATACATGTCTTTTCACTATTTCAGTACGCAAAAAGTGTATTAACGTTAAATCAAATACTGGAGCATTTCACTGAAGTCACACAAAGGAAAAAGCCAGACATGTAACTCTAGGAAAGTTAAAAACATGAAGTGGAAAAATATACCACTTTTTAGCATACAATATAAGCACTATGAAAGTAAATTCCAACTGTAAGTGTATCATGCTTATCCTTATTTTGTCATAACATAAATGAAATTAAAGTTTCTACAAAGGGACTATTCCATGAAGTCAATTCTTCACTAAATCACAACAGAGAAAAAGAGAAGTCTAGAATTTAAAGTCATCTCACATTAACCGTCTAAGAAACAGAACTTTAAATATGTTGACTTCAAATAAACAAAACTGCCAAATTCTTAAATTCTTAAAGCTGGTGCAACTCAAAGGCCGTGACCTAGAAGTAATTTCAGGCTCTCTCTATATCGATGGTGGTTTTCTCACATGCCCGAAGAATTCAGTTCGGCTGTATTGAACCACATTTCCAGTGCAAGTCACAACATTTTTGGAATCCATAAAGCCAAGGAAGTCAGAGGAAAATGTAATAAAGGTCACCTTACAATTTTGCCTATCTTAGAAGTACTATTAACTAATTTCCCAAGGGTTCCAACATCTATATATGCATGCTTAACAGAGTACAAAACTAAATGCACTCAAAGTTAAGGTGGATGCTTATGCACCATAAAAGTTACCAAAAGTACCTTAATTTTTATTTAAAAGACAGCATATTTAACACACAAATGTCTCCCTAGAAAAATGCAGCACACTCAACACATTATTCATAAGTGAAATTACTTCTCACTACAATAGTTAAGATTTCCAGGTATCCAGAGAATCTTCTCTAACCCATTTTCAGCTTCTGGCTACACAAACCTGAAGAAATTACTGTATTAACCAAAGCATGTAAATATTGGTTCATAATTAAGAGGTTTCTACTGCTTCAAAAAAAATGCTGCTTCAAACAACTATGACAATAACTTCATATCTACAGAAGTATTAAAATATTCTTCAGCTTTTTTTTTTTTTAAATCATGAAGAAAAGCTTCCTAGTC